CCAAGGTTGGCCCCCCCCCCCCCCCCCCCAACCGCCCTCCTGCTGCTGGTGCTGCTGTCTTCTTTCTTCCCCCCATCGGCCTAAACTCGCCGAACTTTCACTGAGCCCCTCCCCTCCAAAAATGAATACTTTACTTGTGCGATGAACACTGCCAGATGACGAGCATGCTGCAAAGTTGCTGCGAACGCGAGGGCTGGCTCTCTATACGTAAGCACACCCCGGGATCGAGAGGGCAAGGGCTGGTCCCCAGGGCGAGGCTCTGAATGTCGCCGGCAGCCTCGTGTGAATAAAAAACGTGCAACATTTTGTGATGTGTTCTTTGTTATTTGCTAAACACAAAGCTGTGATGTGTGTGTGTTGTTCTTGGCCTATGGGTTGTAATCGTGTGCAGTTTATAGGCAGATAACTGCAAGGGTTGACTGCCCGTTAGCGTTTTGAAACAATTGAAGAGGATTATTGTTGTTGGATACTTCATGGCGCGAGTACTGTGCTACAGGCACCCTACTTTGGTATCCGGAAGTGTCTCCCCCCAGCTGTAGAAAACAACCCGCAAAAAAAACCGCGGAAAATAACCGCGAGGTGCATAAAAAGCATGCGCCGTTGAACTTTGTTGTACCCACGTTGAAAGAGGCGGCGGGGGTAGGCAAGGGCGATGTGTAGAGCTGTGAATCCCCCCGTTCCCACGGTATATTGTTGTACGGTACGGTACGGTGCGCGGGTTTGGTCATCCCGCGGATGTTTGTTGCCTTTCGTGGAACCGACCCTGCTGTTGCTGGCAAGTCCGCACGAGGGATTTTGGTCCGTTTTTTGTCAACAGGGTCGGCATGAGTGCTGTTGTGTGTGTGTTTGTACACTGAGAATCATCAACCGCGCGCTACTGACCAATGACCATACGTCAGTCGTGTAGGGCGGTTGTGGATTTTTTTTTTTTTCACTCCCGCCTCCTGACGCGGACGGAGTTGCCGGGGACCTAAGCAAGCGGGAGTGTACATGCATGCTTTTTTGTAACAAAACGTCTGCTTTAAATCTATCTCTCTCGCTAGCGTGGAGGTGGATCTACCCCCCCTTTTCATCATCGCGCCAAGTCGCTGTGGCTGTACGTACCGCTGTGGAGACGGTTCCTGTTTCCCTGCCGCTGCGTACGGCAGACAGCGTCATTCGGCACCTAGGACTCTTTTTTGCTCCATCTGAAGCCCGATCGATCGAACGAAAGGTTATTCCAGGTTCTTAGCAAGAACTGCTGCACCTGCGTCTGTAGGTACAAGGTAGGGTATTTGAGCTCTTCTCCTTGGGAGGTGGCATTGCTTGCTTGCTTGCTGCTGCTTCTACGTTGTTATCGCCAACGAACCATCACTCGTTCTTGTAGCTTTGGACGACCAAGGATGGGAGTTAGTTGAGGCTCCCGTCCTTCGTTTGTTGTGCGTTTGACTTTCTTTGTCTTGGCGCTCGTGTGCGGCAGCCCCTTCGTCTACTACACGTCACTGATGCAGACACGCTACATGTATACTGGTATCAGCTAGCAGAGTAACACCCGCAGGATCACACCTTGATGCGGTGCAAATCCCACGCCAATTCGTATACAATGAAGGACGAAATACTTCACATTTCTTGAAAATAAACGTGATTCGTTCGTTATTAGGCGTCCTCTTCTATTTACACTGCCGTACGTCGTGTTGGCTCTCTCTCGTGACCACCGAAAAATGGCGGTGAAGCGCAGGCAACAAGAGCACGTACGTACTGAACAAGCGGTCGCAACGGTGTTGATGCGAAGACAACAACAACAATATCCTTCTTAAATAAAAAAGGGCACACGCGGAGGGGATCCAGTCCCATCCTACATGCGGAACAACAGATAACGAATAAAATATCCGTAATCTCCGTGCACCGACCAGCGAGAGGGAGTGGGGCACGTAGCGCGAGCTCTTTCCGGACCACTGTTGCAACAACGAGCAGCAGCGGTCGCGGACAGGAACCGACCACCGTGTGGGGCTCGCGCTCGGCGTCCCGGGGACTGTCAACCGGCCGGCCAATCAGATTCATTCGCAAGCGGGGGATGGCGATCGGCCGTTGCTGTCATGAGCGCCCCCGCTGCTGCCGCCGCTGCTCCTCCTTCCACCACTCGTGGGGGCACCGTGGACAGCGGCAGCAGCAGCAGCAGGGGGGGTGCCGGTCGTGCTCCCTGTCTTCGCCCCCGCCGTTTGCCCCGAAGAGGCACCGGTTCCGCCGCCGCTTTCCTTCCAGCTCGGCAGGTAGAGGGCCTCTACCTGGGCCACCAGGTCCTTGACCCGCCGCTTACGGAGGACCTTGGAGGCCACTGCGCCGTCCGCGCACTGCAGGAGCGACACCATCTGGTACATGGGGTAGCTCCGCCACCGCTCCTGCGTTTTTCGGTTCAACATAAAAGCCCAATAGCATCCTCGCAGATTAAAGCGGCATGTAGGGCGACACGCGATATTAACCATAAACAGCCCCAACACAGTCACAAACCCGGAGAGTTTTTCTGTAGCCATGTTTTGTTTTGTTTTGGTTCGGTTCGCCCACGGCGTCGTCATCGTTGGAGTCATCAGGGGATTGATATGACTCTAAGCCAAGCAAAGCAAAGCAAAGCAAAGCCAGGCCAAGCCAAGTCAAGCCAAGCCAACTCAACCCACCTTGATCCACTTGTGCAAGTCTTCATCCCCGAAGTAGAAGGCGTTGACGTAGGCGTGCACGTGAGCCTTGGCGGCCTGCGTCGCCGCCGGGTCTTCAAGGCCCAGGGCCAGTGCCTGGATCGGTGCGGCGGGGCAAAGGGTGTCGTTTCAGATGCAGGTGGCCTTGCGAGGATATTAATCGGGGTGAAGCAGCGTCGTTTCCGATGCAGTAGCCATGCGAGGGTATTCAGGCTTGGTTGTCGGTAGAGTTTGGGTTGGGGGTTAGGCATGGGGTCAGGAAATCCCTCTCTATTTCACATGAACATGAACTTGGCAGATGTATTGTAGGAACCACTCGTCTTCACTAGCTCTCGATACAGACCGTCGCACGCAAAGACATACCGAAACGTACGCCCGTGCCCCGCCCGTACCCTGCCCACAACCCTCTCGCCCCCAGTCCTCTGCCCGATTTTCAGGCGGTTGCGACGAACGACTCAAAAACAGCGGCACGAGGAGCGCCCTAAAAAAAACAAAAAAAGCGGGCACGGCCGACTACGGCAGAGTAGCAAGACCGCACCTGTAGGTCCATGCTCATCAGCGCCCGCCCCTCCGTGCTGCACCGTCTCACGCGGCTGAAACCCCTCAGCAGCGACAACAGCAGGGCGTCCACCACCCTGCGCCAGACCAGCCGCCGCGCGCGCGCGGGGATCACCGACCCGACGGTCCCATCCGCGGCGCCCCCGCCAGCGCCGCCGCTACCAGCAGACTCTCCTCGCCCCCCCCGTACCCGTCCATTTGTTGCCGGTCTTTCGATGCCCGCCGCCGCCGCCGCCGCTGCTGGTGGTGCATCCACCGTGGTGGTCGCGGAGTCAGCGTCCGGGGGTGATCCGTCCCCGGCGTCCGGTGGCGGCGGCGGCGGAGGCGGTGGCGTTTGGGACGGGGGGTAGATGGCTCCGCGGATGAGCAGGCACCGGGTGGTCCACTCTTCGACGTACGGGCTGGCGTCGTTCTGGAGAACGGGGGTAAGGGGGTAAGGGCGAGAGGGATAGAGGGGAGAGAGGGAGGAAGAGAGAGAAGAGAAAGAGAGAGAGGACAAAGAGGAGGGGGAGAGGGAGAGGGGGAGGAAGGGGGGAAGAAGAGAGGGAGAGATGGAGGGGGGGAGAGAGAGAGGGAGAGCGAAATGAAAAACAAAAGTGCTGAAATCTCGAACCGTGTCAAATGGCATAAATACAGTAGTGTTCAAACGAACGAGCAGGACAGGAGACAAAATTTCTGTTCCGACGCTGAGCTTTTAGGTTGAGGGGATGAAGAGGGTCAACCTACTTTGGCATGCCTCCGCGTGCTACTAAAGAACAACCCATCCGTAAACCGTACAAGCTATGCCCATGTCGACGTACGCCGCAAACCAAACGTACGGACCGAAGGGTCTCATCTGCGAAAAATATATAAATATATTGCGTCGCCCCCGGGAGGCACATCACCTACCTCCCGCAGGGGAACCTTTGTATATATATACGTGTGTCTGTGACAAGAGAGCGAACAAGGAAAAGACAAGTCGAAGCGGCTCCTTCAAGTCTGTCCGCCCCTCCCTCCCTCCCTTACTCTGATCTTCTTTCGAGTCCACGACTGGCCCTCCACCGCCGTCGCTATCCCCTCCCCGCCGACGAGCCCGGGGGCCTGGGCCCAGTACGCGAACGACCTCAGCTGAGCGGTAACCTGCTCGATCTCGGCGACGTACGCGTCCACCGCCGCCCGCTGCGACACCGGCAGCAGACCCAAGCCTATTTTTTTTTCCGATCGTGTTGTTGGGGGTTTCGATGTTTACGGGCGTGCACGGTGGGGAGGGAGGGAGGGAGGCAAGAAGGGAGACACAGACAGACAGACCGAGAGAGAGAGGGAAGTGAGGGAGGGAGGGAGGGAGGGAGGGAGAAGTCGACTGGAGAGGAAGAAACGCGAAGGTGGTGCTATTATCATCACCACCCTACCCGTACACC